TATATATATAAAAGTTATTTTTTACAAAGTTTCTGAAAGAAAATACCAGAAAATTTTAGATATTGTAATTTTAAGAAGTTGCGGAGTTTATTAAATAAGAGTGCGAGAAACTTTTAAAAGATACTCGCAAAGGTTTCGATACATCAAAATATGTAAATGGATTGAAATTTCACGTGCGCTCGCGATACGGATCCACGTTGCAGTTACAGTTACAGGAACGACGCAATATGTACGAATACGTGCGCGTGTCGAGGACGTCGTCTCCAGGAAAAGAATGTCGGTTTCGCTGTTTATACGCGTTACGCGCCACCCGCGTCTTTATTAGCATCTCTCTTTCTCTCCTTGCTTCTTTCCGGAGTCATTTCAGCAGCTCGTGGGATCAAAGGGCTAATACGATTTCTCCCTCTTTCTCTCTTCGTCGCTCCCTGCAGCGAGACACGTGTACACTGTGACGACGTCACACGCAACGTCTGAGCGAGAAGAAAACGAACGAGAGGAACGAGAGAGAACGTTGCGGCTAATAACGTGCGAGCGGAAGGAGAACACGAAAACGCGTTACACGCGGCACGCTGAATAACATTCGGTGTATAAAATAACCGCCGCGTGCGCGGCTTCGCACAAAGGACTCTTATGTTAGCGGTGTAAAAAAAAAGTCGGAGAAGGAGGCGAGCAACGGAGACGGGCAGAAAACGAAAGAGAGAGAGAGAGAGAGAGAGAGCCGGACTTGGTCGACGGAGACATGAGGAGGCACGACGACGAGAATCGCGACGCCGGGGGACTTGTGTATATACATTCCGTCGTACCCCTATCTTCTTTTCAGAGGCACACGGAACGTCTCCAGAGTTCCCGTCGTCCCGATTCTCGTCTCGTAACTCGAGACGTGTAATTAGGAGCACCGGACCAATATGAATGGCCAAGTGGTCCTGGTGAGTGGCACAGCCGGAACGGGACGAATGAAAGAGCGAAGAATAGTGGAGGGCAGGAAAGGAAAGGGGGAAAGCCAGCCATGGGGTACCATGGCGCACTCTCGAGAGTTACGTCGTACATTTTGCGCACCCCTCCCTTCCCCCTTTCCTTAACCTGCCGTGTGGTGGCCGATATTAGGTATATACCTACGTAATACCACACGGCAACCATCTCCTCTCTCCTTTCCGCCCTGCCCCTCTGTTTCCCCGCGTGCACCGAGTCTGCGTACACTCGTCGCTTTTACGTGTAGGTGTGTGCGCGGCTATCGAACCGGTTCCTCCTCTTTGAAGAGAGGAGAGCCGTCATGGTGGAGAGTGGCAGCATCCTTTCCACCATTCGAGTCTCGGGTCTCGAATCTTCGTAAGAGCCGAGGGAGAATCCGCGAGGAGGACGCAAATTGGCCAGCTCCGATTTAGGCGAGAGAATATCTCATTTTTTTTTTTTTTTTTTTTTTCCCTCGTGACTCTTTAGTTTAGATTGCTGATTTACGGAGATAGGGACATGTGATGAGAAGAAAGTCCTCTTCTCTCTTATTTTCGTTCTTTTTTTCTTCCTATTCAGAGGGATGAACGTGATACATCTGACATATTTGATTATAGTAATTGATAGTCGGATAAAAGATACGTAAATAAATTAATAGCGGAAAATACACGAGTTTTGTAATAATTCGTAATTTTGCTCGCAAATTCGAAATAAAATGAAAATTTAATATGAGAAAATAGTGGAAAACTGTCACAAACACAGAAATTATCTTTTTTTATGGAATATGAATTGCACACGATCTCGCATTATAATTCAATTGCAAGCAGCCATTATAACATTACACAAGTCCGTATTATCGATTGTATTATATCTCAGAAACAATCCTTTTAATGCTGATAAATTGATACACGTATACGCGATATATACATATATGTATGAAGAAAACAATATATATAAATCTCTTTTATGATACATAATTATTCAAGATCTCTGACATATAAAAAAAGTAAAAATATTTCTTTTAAAACAGGCGAGTAGGTCAACGGGGAACCTGCAGAATATTCTAAAATCTTTTTCTGCATCACGCCCTCGAGATGGTTAATTGCACGCTTAAGCAAACCGGTAACAATGAAATATTTTACTCGGCAAATTGCGCGATTTTATCGCGAAACAACAGCGTGCAACGAGCGCGTAAAACAACGCTCGAGGAAACATATCGTGCTTGCCGTATCGCGCCGATGCGTTTGCCAGATATCTTCAAGTTTCTCGCGCACGAAATGATAACTGCGCCCTTTTCACTTTTGCGATTATATGTATATATATATGTGTATATATATATGTAGCTTAAACATAGAGATATTCTATCTCTTTCCCGAATAATAATAACGTCAAGTCATTAGAGGAACGGCTCGGAGGTATCGTCATTTACGAGGCGCGCTCATGCGCGATTTTTTCCGACTCGATTCACCGAGAGAGCGGCTCGACCGAGGCGCGCGATTCGGAGTCAATTAGTCGTAATTACACCGTCGGCCGCCAGAAAAGGAAGAAAGGATGAAGGGAACCGCGTCCGCAACCGGTCGGAGATCGGATTCGCGCGTGGAATTTCGAGAGAGACGCGCCGCCAACTTCGCCGGAAACTTCGATCGGCAGTCTTCCCTCCGCGTGATTCACCCCCGACAGACTGATATCGGCGGGAGACGGGAAGGGAGGAAAGAGAGAGAGAGAGAGAGAGAGAGAGAGAGAGAGAAAGAACCCTGTACGGCGCGATTCAAGGGCCGGTTATACTTGATTCGCATACTTACACATACAGAAGACCAGGGGCAACAGAATCGTGACGCGCCGCATCCTTGTCGATCGGGCGAGGCAATTGAAACGGGCACAATTATCGGGCGAGAGAAAAACACTTGGTTTCTCGCGGCGGAATTCACGTCGCGATCATTTTAACAGTTCGCGCGACAGTTAACTTGCAGATTGCGGCGAAACGACGTGTGCACAAGAACGAGATCGAACGAGCGGGACCGACCGGCGCGAGGAGACGCGCGACACTGAGACGACGAACCCACGCCGGCGCGAAGCGACCCCTGGTGTCGCCGGCCAGTGCGACTTCTCGCCGTCAGAGAGCGCCACGCGACGGCAGTACACCGACGAGTGACCGTTGAGCGATCGTGACGTCACGATATTTCGATATTCATAATTATTTCGATAAATTTCGAATGACGGTGGTGATCACGGAACGCGTCGCTCCGTATTTTTCGTGATTATTACCGTCTGAAAGTGAATCTTACGCGCGCGAGTGAAATAATCGCGAGTGTTTTGTAAAGTGTTGAACATTTTCGTCGAACATGGTACGTTAAACATCGCGTACGATCATTATTCGTCGATATCGCGATTTCGGTACATGTATGTGCGCGTGTAGATGCTCCCCCCGACACTTTTCGTATATTTTACGATACTTTCTCTCCCAAAATCAGCAGAAAGAGGTGCTCGATCATCGCCACAAGTATGTATATATCATTCTGTTCAATTAGCTAACGATTATACTTGAATAATGATCGATGGAGAGAGAGAGAGAGAGAGAGAGAGAGAGGGAAAATGAGTGAGTGAATTTATCAGCCTTATACTTGCAAAATCATGCATAAATCATTCATTTTAAAATTATTTTAGTCTTAATAAAAGTTATATTGCAAAATAGGTCATTAGTTTACAAAAATATCGATGGAACAATATTAAAGATTGCGATTCTAGTACGAGAATTGTATGAGTGTATGTGTGAGTATAACGGAAAAGATTCAAGTCTGTGCACTAACGCCCTCTCAGCGAGTATGCAGTTAGAATAAGAATTATTTGGTCAATGCATGCGTACATATGGTAACAGGAAAAATGCAGGTATCTATCTATGAAATACCGATATAAATATGAGTCGTAGAAATTTTATACACATTTTTCTACATTTTTACATATTACTATTATTATATTCATTACATTATACTGTTAAATTTCATATTGTTTTTGTAATTTTGTTCGTATTAGGAATATCGGAAAGTAATATAATTTTGAGAAAAATTTGGCTCAAAAGATAGATTTATATATTTATTTATACAGTAAATTTTTTCTAAGATAAACGCGCGTGTCTTTTTATGAAAAGGAAAATGAGGAAAAATTTTAAGCAGAAAATTGAGAACGATGTAGGTGAGAAAAAAAATGAGAAACATCTATATACAATTCAAATTCGATATATTATCTTTATACATCTTGAGACATGTACGTCGTTGTTTTTTTTTCTTGTCGATCATATTATTGATAATATTTATAATAACAATCTAAACAGTCACATACTCTTATATTCCTATAGATCTTAAATAATTTTTTTTATTTTACATATGGATTCTTTATTTTTTCTATTCTATAATCAATCGATGCTCACGTCTGTAAAGAAGGGTCGGTATTTAGTTTAGTTTTCTATAAAGCTCCATGGTCAAGGATTTTTTTTTCAAAATGTTTATATATTTATAAAAAAAAAAAAAATGAAAATTTTACTAAAAGCGATATACAGTAAATTGCATTTTTTTACATTTTAATAAGAAATGAATTTTATACAATTCACAAATTTAACAGATTCTCTTCAACCCAAATGTTTGGATAATTACGACACAACTGTATAAGACATAATAAAAAATCATATATAATTACTGCATATCGCTAATATACTTAAAAAAAGAATAAGTAATAATAAATAATACATACATTCGTGCAAGTACTAGTTCTGAAAAAATTACATATTATAGTATTGATTGTCTGAAATAACAAATATACGTGATGAGATACATAACAACTGGGATTAATTTCTCGTACAAAAAGAATTCGACCATGTAAAATAAAATTTTTCTATATAAAGCTTTTCAGAGAAAATTTATTTCCAATATTTAAAAATTAATAATAGCTATTAATAAAGTATGTATTTTACTTATATTTTATATTATTCTTTCCTTCTGTATACGAAAGTAATATCGTATGACAGATAATATTCTCAACGCGTATTTTCTGATAACGGGACGGTGTGTGTGTAAAATTTATTTAAAATATTAATTTATATAAAAGAGATAAAACATAAATTTTTTATTTTACACGTGCAAAATAAGTTTTTGAAAAAAGAAAATGATCAACAATTTTGACGTCGTAACATAAATTTATCTCGATGTTCAGATAGTGTATTTCTATACACGATAGAATGATACATATGTACATAGATAGATCTGCACTATATGTTCTTGTATATAATTTATGTACATGGTATATGTATCGCGTGTATACGTACGCATATACCTTCTTTTAAAAATTTTACGTTATATATTATTATAATCGACAAATTAAATCAATTAAATGTATTCCACACATTAGTCACCTAAATTTTTCTTGAATATTGTAAACGTATTTATATTATGTACAGTATAATTATCTGTCCTGGAGATCACATGGAATCATTATAGCACATCGTTAAAAAGTCATTATTCGCGTCTATAAAGGGATTATCTAAATTTTAAAATCATTACTGTATAAGATCCGGTAAAAATGTAAAGCAGTGATCTATGCAACGAAGAGCATAATCACATTATAATTGTTTTTTATAATGAATCTGTTTACTTCGTTTTAATTCTGTCATATTTATTTTATTGACGTGACTAGTGGATATTATAAGATTAATGCAAAAGATTTGTCACTTTTNTATATATCTTATTTTAAACAGTTATTAATTTCTGATAAATAAATATAGATGGCACAATATTTCTGGATAAAATATATAATCTACTTTACTCGGTCATATTTCAAAAAAATCTTTTTTCTAAATAGAAAACTTTGTATTAAAACTAATAGTATGTTTCCATTTTGATTAGTCTTTCTCTTTCTTAAAAATTACTTGAAACTATATACATAAACTATATTCCGCGAGAAAATTGACTATATATATAATTTTGTTTTCAACTTTATTTATGAGAAATACGGCAAATCTGTTGCACCAATCTAATAATTAATTTGTCCTATTAACAATTTTGAAGCAACTACCAAAATACAAAACATTCCTTTAAGAAATCGCAATTTTCATTGATTTCAGAACTTTGCGAATTTCTAATAATAGATAAACGTGTCATTTAATATAATTTTCAAAGTGGAAATAAATCAAAACTTAAATAAGTTAGATTATGTGATAATTAAAACACTACTTTGCACATCGCAACATATTTCAGAAATTTCGTGCCATACGAAATATTTCAAAAAATATTACGCGGTCACGAACATATTATATGTTCACACAAAGAAACGATTACATCGTAAATATAGAATGTCTTATTTAGTTTTATCACTTGATCCATTTCTAAAACAATGCATATTAGAATAAAATTGGTCTAATAAGAATTGACACGATACAGAAAGAAAATATGGAATGTTCTGTATACTCCTTAATACTCTTATATGCAAATAATATTTTTATTCTACGGTGCTTCTTATGAAACAATACAATTTTTTTTTATGAAATATTTTCTACAAATTCTCGTCGCAGAGAAAATAATAGGATATCTTGTATATTTAAACTATGTTGAACCAGTAAATACAGAAAGATACGTATGGCACTCTCGATTGGCCTATGCATTCCACAGCTCCTTGAATGCCAGCCGAATTAAAGATATGTTTAGTCTCTATCGACACTAATCAGAAATACAGCTTCCTCCTTTTATTTGGCATCGCATTACGATAAGCTTCGATTCGAGCCGTATAACCTTCACTATTGTCGATGATATGTACCCGGATTTTGTTCCCCTCGATTCTTGTAGATTCACTTCCGATCGCCCCATCCAGCGCTATTGTAAAACCAAGATGAAGTACCTTCGTCTCTCGTTTTGCTCCATGAATTGTCAAGGCTGCTACCTCCACTGTCCTAACGATGCAATATTGGTTCTTTTACATTATGCTATTCTTCAAGCGCCTTCTTGCTCCATTTTAGTGGACGCAATCATATATATTTGCACAGAAAAAAATTAAAGAGATAGAGATAGAATTTTTTTATACTTACCACAACGTTTAACTGATGCGAGGCGGGCGAGAGATAATCCATATTGGTATAGTAGGACGAATAATTTTGATAGCATTGCTGCTGGGAAGCGTTTGTCGTCCACGCTAACCGTTGGTGGTCACCCGGAAATCCTCCGCTCTCCGTCACTGCTGGACTCCAGATACTACTGCTACCACCGCCGCTGCTGTACACGGTACCGCCTAACTGTTAAAAAATAGAACAACGAACGTATAAGAAAACAAATATTCCGAAAACATGAACAATGTTTGTTTAAATGAAATAATACAAAATCGTCGAAATCATCACTACAGCCCATCGACTTACGCTCGGTGGAGTCGTACTAGCTGCTAACAGTAAACTAGTAGCATTTCCCGCTGGTTTATACTGCGGCGAATCCCTTAAAAGCGCCGGAGAACTTGCCGCTGAGCCGCCAGTGCCTCCGCTCCTGAGTACAGAAATGCAATGGTGTGTGTATACGCGCATCTATTCTATAATGCATTCACGTAACGATCGATCGCGTTGCAATTAGCATCTCGGACTTTACATCCACAATTTTTATATGTAAGAAAACACATCTCGCGCGATAAAACTATTTCAATAATATCTGTAGGGTTCAGTTGTAATTAAAATATTAATTTTAATTTTATTAATTAAAGTTGGCTAATCGTGTTGGCGATTACCTCATACGGACATGAAATAATAGTCGTTAGTACGGCACGTGGGCATACGCTGAAGATACGTCATATTTTATTAAGATTAAGTGATATTTACAAGGGCGTAGTAGCAGGTACCGCGGCGGCGGGCGTGGGCGTGGTAGCAATTGAAGGACTTTTTCCAGGGGGTGGATTACTAGCCGGACTTGCCGAGGGTTTCTTCGATCTCGGTGTCTTATCTTGCTGCTGTTGCTGCTGCTTCTGCTGCTGTCGGCATTTAGCTCTCCGATTTTTGAACCACACCTGCAGACACGTAGGAATTATTTGTTTGTACGGTTACGTAATCAGAGACGCTTCTACACAGCTGCTGCATATATTATCATAAAAAATAATAATAATAAGTCACGCATCTGTCACGAAATAAATCGGACATCATTTTCATGTTTTAGCGACGCATAAATGTGATTTGGAATGAATCAGAACTCTCGCAAAGCTGGCATAATAACCAATTATAAGGGAACGCCGAACTGGTACGACTATCAATTACCAATCAAGCTGACTGTAGCAACGCGAACAAAAACGCGCACGCATATCGGACGCTCTCGCTACCAGGCTGTCGTTAATGCAACAGAATTACGAAACCAATTGGAGTATAGGTCGTCCCACACACACCGAGCAACTTCTCTGAATAGAATAAGCCGATTTCGCGTACCAACGGGCTCGCTCCGGTTTGTGTTCAAAGTGTCCACTGGTTTTGCACGAACACCTTGTAATGAAGTTGCTAATTATGTTTATATAAATTAAAAAGCGTTTCCTCCGCTGGCGCTCGGATGATACAGATTACTATTCTATCAATTTCTGTAATTTTCTTTGATAGTTTTCATCGCGCAAGCAGTACAGTAACATTTTTCATAATTTATTTCAGTAGATGTTGAAATATGTTCTCCTTTTTAACAGAATGTTCATAAATAAAGATTCAAAGATATATTTTGCGCATTGGATTTAATTACTGCATGGTATACGTGAAATATGATACGTTGTTTTTCATAGCTCGTTTGTTTTCTAAATTTCTCTTATACATAAAAACGATATAGGGAAGGGACGAAGCGAGTGGAAAGAGGTAGAGGGAGAAATGCGACAAAAGAGAGAGAGAGAGAGAGTGAAACTTGGAGAAGCCTCGCGATCGATGTTAGAAGCGGAGAGGTGAGCTTGGGTTTCTACGGATTTTCTGGGGGACGACACCAGCAGCTCGCGTTCTTCCATCGAAAGAGTCCGGTGTATGTATCGTCGTAACGTGAACTTTTCGTTTTCAAGAAACGTCGCAAAAGCATTTTTATCACGACTGGATTATGTTCTACATTGATATCGAGAAATATTGGCGAAACATCAACGTTTGATTCAATGCTTAATAAAACAAAATCTTCTAATAACATATATTTATGAAATGTCAATTTTTCTTTATGCTCAAGATCGTAATAAAAAAAAAGAAACTTTTTCTATGTTTGCTATTTAACTCGATTCATCTTTTCTCTTGCGATATATTTTTATCATCTCTCAGTTCATTAATCATGGGTTTATTAATTACGTAATAAATCTTGCAATATTAAACATTTTTTTGATATAGATAACGTGCTCCATTTATTATACTAAATATATAGTTTCCTTTTCTAAAAAATTGATGTTAAAATATACGATCATATTGCGTGAAATGATATTATCGTATTGACCCGTGAGAAAACTAGCTTTGGTGAAGCTACAATGGACACGGATACGCCCGCGGTTGAAAAGTCATGCAGGGGTCTAAAAACGGCGATCGTGAGTAGAGCAGTCTCTGGTTTTGCAGTCGTCCAACGAACGTGCGGAAGACTATGGGCCACGTTGGGCCCATTCATCTCGTTTACACGGCCATAGCCAGGTGTGTTGGACGGCAATTGCGGATGCGGAGCGCCCTTTCCGGCCGTGATGAGGGTGGGATATGCACGGACACGTTCTCGGACCTTGTGGACGTCGACGTCGGTACGGCCAGACGGCACGGTGTCACTCGAGCAACATCGACTTATCGATTCCGAAATTGACATCATTCATGTAGGTTTTCGCGGTATTGTTGCACCAAAAAAAAAAAAAACATTCTTTTGACCGCGCGCTATTGAGCAAAAATGCCAACGGAGCATCGCTTGCGATTTTATGTGACTAGAAAGCGAACGAATTTTTTTCTTTTCTATACCATTGCTGATGGCTTGAAATAGACATAATAAACGTTTGATGCTCTGCGTTCTCTTTTATGTTTTTGAATCTTATGCTTTTTACTTATGCCAATAATTGCATGCTTTGACTTTCATTCGTTCTTTTTTCCTGTTACTATAATTTTATGTAGCTATGTCGAATAATACTTTGTATATTATTAATATGAAATATTAATATACCTTCGCAACTAAATGAAATATTAAAAGTCATGAATTTTTAATTATAGTAAATCTTTCGCAGATTAGTAGTTTATTTCCAAATAAAAGGATGGCAGAAATATCATGTATAGATTTAATCTAGAAGATGAAATCATTATTTTATATCTCTTATACCGTCATTACAAGGGGGTATTAGTAGCAGATTCGAAGAATTCTTGTCGGTATTTGTAAGACGAACGCGTAATTTAATTAACTCTAACGCAAAGGACAGACACGTGGAAGAGAAATCGATGTTGTCCGTACCGTCAACGTGCCGACAGTGCATAACCCTCGGTAATCAGACACTCTTGCACCCCTCGTAGACATGCCGCATTTTTTTACTGCAGTGCAGAAATACTTTCTGCACTGTATTCAAAGTTATTTCTCTTGTATTGTAGTAGTAATTTAAAGTACTAATTTAATATTATAAATAAAATGAGAGAGAGATATTGAATAATTACATGATTTCTTTCGATATATATGATAGCTGCATATTAATCGAACATACGATAAAGCATAACCGAAAATTGCCGTCAATATTAATAATTTCTTACCTGCACTCTCGATTCTGGTAAATTGATTTTCATCGCCACTTCCTCGCGCATGAAAATGTCAGGATATTTCGTCTTTGAAAAAAGTCCCTCTAATACATCCAACTGCGCTCGTGTGAACGTCGTCCTCTCCCGTCGTTGCTTCCTTGGATTACCTTTAATGGAAATTTTTGATACAACAGAATATCATAGAAATTCTTTTGTATTTATATTTTTTTTTTCAAATATGCATGAAATCATTAAATCAATATGTTATATAATTTACTGAGAAAAAAGACTTGAAAAAAATAAAGAAATTTAAACCGCTTTTTATGCGGGAACATAATATAGTTTGAACCAATAATTGACATCCGTAAAGGATTCCTCTTTTAAACCTCTGATTTGTAATTCAAACTTATAATATATATAATATATGTATATTTATAATATGTTATAGAGAGAGGAGTCAACTACATATATATATATATATATA